CGGGACAGAGCACAGCGCACCATTACCCTGACTTAGTCACACATGGTGCAGCAGGTCCTTCAACGCTCCGGCTTCACGTACTCCTCGCTTCAGGCCACTCCTCTGTCTACTCGCCACTCGCTCTCAGCTCTGCCTTCGGATGAGTCCGTAGAGTCGAGTGGCTGGTACCCAGGGCTTGTTGGCTGCCTCATGTACTTGATGACCTGCACACAACCTGACCTTGCATACCCTCTTAGCATCTTGGCACGCTATGTTGCTCCTGGGAGACACCGACCAGAGCACATGGCTGCCGCGAAGAGGGTGTTGCGCTACGTGTGCAGTACGTCGGGCATGGGGCTAGTGCTTGGAGGGCGACAACGAGTAGTCCTCACAGGTCACGCTGACGTCTCTTGGGCTGACGACCAGGCTCTACAGCGGTCGTCGCAGGGTTACACCTTCAGCCTTGGCTCCGGCTCCGTTTTGTGGCAGTCTACCCGCTCATCTTCTATTCTCCGCTCGAGCTGTGAGGTTGACGACCTCAACAGCGTTGAGGTCTCCCTCAGGGGCTAGCAGCATGGAGCAAAGGTGGGGAGCAATAACTACAAGAATGCCAAGCTTGAACTACCAATTATCTAGGGCATCGGTGCAAAGCGTATGAACACCCTCGACGGACAGAGGACGGGACATAGGAGATACCTATTGGGTGGCTTAGTGAAGTTGGTGTAGGCAAAGTCGGTAACAGCGGGGACAAGAGTCGGAACGTACGACGGAGAGGCAATAGGACCAATGATTGGAGGAGGGAGGACACGTGAGACTATAGGGAGAGCAGTACAGAAGTAGTTAATATCACGACTCTCAAGTTGAGATATCGGATGATATTGGTCAAATGGTTGCTAGAGATGATAAGTCGGATATCATAGACTCGGATACCACGGTTGAGGCCAAGCAGACGGCATAGAATGTGCGTGAAATTCTTACTAGTAAGAAAAACAAATCGTTCAGCAATCACGTGGATTAGTGGGGCGTGACAAAGTTTTGAGTTTGAGATCGTGCGTCGTTGTTGGCAAAGGGGCAGTATTGTCCCATTTTCATAGTTAAAGGAGTAGGGGTTTTCACGTATATTTGAGGGTCCATTATTGAACTATCTAACGATGATGTCACTTCCTTAGCTCTCTAATTGGGAAGCTAAATGTTGACGAGAGGCGTATGACGGCGTGCCAATTTGTCACGTGATATTGGGAGAACGAGCCATGAAGGGAACATACTGGACGTTGGATTCCATACAGATATGCGGCTTCTTTTTTTTATTTAAACAATGCCCCTCTGAGTGAGCCGCCTAATGACACATCTTTGTGTAAATGGCCAATGCGGACCTTGGATGATATGATGACGAATTCCTGAGTGGCGAGAATTTTGGGGCCTTTCATGGAGAATGAAAGGTTACGACGATCCCACGGCATAATTTCGTAGGATCTTATTCAGTGGGTTCGTGTAGCATATTGTGTTTAGGTAGTATGATGTCGCGTATTAGTAAGTTATGAATCTTATTGATAATGTGATTTGTATAATAATTGAGGGAGTTTAGTTGTTAATGCGCATTATATGAAATCTCTTTGTTATTCCATTTTGTGTTTGTGTAACGGTTATAGATCCTGTATCTAGCATGGCTCAATCGCGCGATGGCTTTACTCTGAGCTCCTCGCCAATTTCTTGCGCCAACACGATGCGTGACTGAATCACAGTTTGCAGCGCTGGAACCAGGCTGACGCAGCCTGTAAATATCTTGTGGCGATGTGTTGAAATTGGGCGGAACTCCTTTGTTCCCTCCAATTTCAACGAGGCAAAACGACAAAGTCCTTGTCCCCGCTGCCCCAACGTTGAAATTCGCGGGGGCAAGGTGTAGTCCCGTGCCATCTCCCTTAGGCCCTATATATCCTTCCTCTCTCACCAATACGCCAACGGGCATCCCTGTTGCCTCCCCTCAGCCAATTATCGGTCCACCTCATCCCTCCAAACCCCCCCCCCCCCCCCCCCCCCCCCCCCCCCCCCCTCCCCCCCACAACATCTCCCCAAGCTGCTGCCTCTAATGCATCCATCTGTGCAAAGAGAGCATTCTTAAAGGTGGATCCCCCTTTGCGGGCGGAACAAGATGTCCCTACGGCCTCACTACTAATATTAGTGCTGTCAAACACTCCCCCCCCCATGACACGTAACCTCACCACCATCTCTTTGGATGCGCCCTTGTTAAAAGTACGAGCAAAAAAAAATTAAGAAGCAGAAAGAGGGGTTGCACTAGTAAGCAGGGCAGTACATATAGCAAACCCTAATAGGGTTGTACTCACTATGGAGTACCCCATTGCAGACTATACAATTATAACATTCTAACACACCCCCATAGTGGGGTATAATCAGTACAGCAAGCAGTCACAAAACAAGCACACGTAAATCTAGAGGTAGTCACAGAAGGCATGTGAGGAGGAGGAGGGACTGTGAGAGGAGAGGAGATGGGAGGCGACGGCGGAAGCTGCAGACACACAGGAGCTGCTGGCTGAGTGGCCACTCAAGCAATGGCCCGGACTACAAGAGTAAGTGGCTCCGCGGAGATTGTAGCCTCCTGACTGGAGCAACTGACCCACAGGCGACTGGCGACTACAGGGGATTGTAGCCTCCGGACTACTGGTGCTGCTGGCGACATGACTGCTACCTCCGCTCAACCTCCGCCAGCTGCCCCACACCCCTATCACACACCCCCTGCTGAACCCCTAGCTTTGCTCACCCGCCACCCCCATGGTACCACTCCAACTCCGACAGCTCCAACACATCCACCCCCCTCAGCGGCAGCTGCAGCAGTGGGAGACGGAGGAGGAGGAGGAGCAGGGGACGGCGCACACACCCGGTACCCCCATACTCACGACCCTCACACTCGCCACCCCCAAACCCTAACTTGGGCAGCACGGGGCAGGAGCGTGGGCTGCAACGCGGGGGACGGCGCGCGGCTCCCCAGGGCGCCGTGACAGGGTAGCGGGGGGTTGTGCGCGGCTCCCAGGGCACCGCGGCAGGACGGCAGGGGCCGCGCGTGCCTTGCCAGGGCGCTGCGACAGGACGGCAGGGGCGGCGCGCGACACCCTAAGGCATCGCAACGGACGGGCAGGGGGTGTGAGCGGCTCCCTAGGGCGCCGCGACGGAGCACGGGGGCGGCGCGCCAGGAAGAAAAGGGGCCGCGCGCTCCGGGGCGCGCGCCAAAAAGTAAACCGTCGCGCGTTGGAAGCGCGTGGCGGGTAAAAATTACGTTGCACGCCACGGGGCGCGCGACAGACCGAGTAGCAGCGGAAGCAGGTAGGTGGGCCCACAGGCCAAGGAAGGACAGGCTCTGGTAGCATGTCAGAAGTACGAGCAGAAAAAGTTTAGAAGCAAAAAGAGGGGCTGCACTAGTAAGTAGGGTAGTACATATAGCAAACCCTAACAGGGTTGTACTCACTATGAAGTACCCCACTGCTGACTATACAATTATAACATTCTGACCGCCCTCGCTCCGGATACACAGCCAAACGGCCACACACTAGGCGTATCACCGTATGCTCATCCACGACCTGCACTCTCCTAGCGCATCCACCCGCCTCCGTCACATGTGCTGCATTGAGCGCCTGCCACTTGGGCAGCTGGAAGAAGATGGTCTCGTAGTGGGTGTCGCGGAAGGTGGCTATTACCAACTCTTCCTTCTCCCTGTACTTGTACTTCTTCAGCTTCTTGAAGTCCGCAGAGACGAGGGCGTGTGTGAGGAATGAAACGCCAGGCTTGCGATAGGTGATTTCCAGCTTGTCCAGCACCTGGTTGTACAGCAGGACCACCGCGATGGCCGGCGGGTACAAGGAAGCCTCAGCTACCTTGGTGATCAAGTGGAAGGGCTCAAGAAAGTCCTTCATCTCGAGGAGCGCATCTTAGTGGATGTCAGCGAGTCAACAGCGGTAAAGCTGCTTGCGTAGCTGACGGGGGTGGGGTGAGGGGGGGGGGGCTGGTGTAGGGGAGAACAACAAGGGTGGTACAGAAGACCCTACTAATTATACAACAGTGGTGGAGTCATATCCTGTTGGATAGGTCCCAACTTTGCGCAAAAACACCATATATCAACATTCGATGTACTGATAAGCTTGGGCCCCACAAATCAGCCCCCTTCAAGTCCCTGACATGTACGCACAACCTTTGGAGCGCCATACCAGCCCTCTATACTCACCATTCGATGTAGTCACAACCCTTGGAGCGCCATGCTAGCTCCCCATACTCACCATTCCATCCAAAACCCCAAATATGCACATTAGGGTAGTGTATGCGCTTGACATGCTTCCACCGTGTGCCCATGCTACCCACATCCCAACCCATTATGCATTATGCTACACCTAAAATTGACGACTTCCATGCACAAGCTCACCAAACATTCCCACGAATAATCCAGGGTAATGCTTCCCCGTCAATCCCTCAACCACTAGATATGTGGGCAAATCCTCCCTCCTACACTTTGACTTACGCCCGCGATTCTCGGCTTTCCCACCACCCAGACTGACGCCACCAGCACGCAACGGTATGGACTTAACAAGCTCCGTGCGTTGAGTAGGTGCATGCGAGGGCCCTGGACTAGGTGCAGCCTCGGCCGCTCTGTCAACCCCTCTGACAATGCGATCTCCCCTAGCAGCACTAAGTGCAACCCTCCCAACCCTCCCTCACTTCGTCCATGTCGCGATACATATTTTACATATATTTATAACTGCCTGTGGCTTTAGCTTTAGTGTAGTTATGCTTCCTTGCTATTGGGTGGTGCACCTCTTGTTTGTGTTTCTCGACTATAACTTGTATGCTTTGCTTTTACTCAAACTAACTTGTCTGGTCAACTCTCTCGATCCTCTCTTGGCCTTGACCTCGACACTTGCTTGGCCTAGGCTACTAAGCCTAGGCCCTCCTTAAATCTAGTTACCAGTTATGATCGCATCGTAACATGGTCTCAGAGCTAGGTCCGATTAGGACTGTTTTCAAATGGGCCCACCATTAGCGCTCGCAATGGCACGCCCCTTAGTGCGCCTCGTGAGCGCTTTCCGGTTTTCAGCCCGTCGCCCGTGCGTTACCACGAACGCACGCCAGGAACGCACCAGGAACGCCAAGATCGGACCTGCCAGCAAGCATACCGTCGGACCCGCCAGAAACCCGCCAACGGAGACGCCGTTGGTTCCGCCAACGAGAGCGCCAGCAAGCCCGCTGACGGACCCGCTAGTGAGCACGCCGACAGACCCGCCAGCGAGCACGCCGACGGACCCGCCATCGCGCACGCCAGCACGCCCGCTGACGAACCCGCCAACGAGCCCGCGAGCGAGCCCGCCAATGGACCCGCCCCCGCCACGCTGCCTCGTCGCGGCTCCGTGGCACGGAAACAGCGACGGTCGTAGTGGGGGCGAAGAGGAGAGGGGGAAAGGAGTGGCGGCCGGCAGCGCCAGCATCCGCCAGTCATGCCTCTTCCCCGCCCGCCCTCCCGTCGACTTCGCAACTGCTGTGAAGGAAGTGGCGGGAGTGGCGGGGTTGATGGGAGTGGCGGGAGAAGTTGCGACCCGCATCTTGCACCCCATCCGACCCCATGGCACCACCAGTGGACCCTACTACCCCGCCCGTTCCAGTCCCCGGCCCGCCCAGCGCACCACCCCTGCCAACGGACCCGCCAGCTGCCAGCACCAGCACTGATGCCAGTCACCAGCGCTGTCATGCCAGCACCAGGCATCGACACGAGCGCCGCCGCGCCAGCACAGACCCTGCCAGCAGATCCCGCCAGCAGAGACCCCGCAAGCAGATACCCCGCCAGCAGAGACCCCCGCTAGCACAGACCCCCGCCAGCAAGGACCAAGCACCAGCAACAGCTCCAGCGCCGTCACGCCAGCACCAAGCGCCAGTACCAGCACCTGACGCCAGCACCAGGAACCAGCACTAGCGCCAGCCGCCAGCGCCAGCCGCCAGCACCAGGAACCAGCACCAGCACTAGCCGCCAGCACCAGGAACCAACACCAGCGGGGTTGAGTGGGAGTATAAGGGGGTGGAAGAAGTAAGTCGGGCATTTGCAGCCATTGCCTGTAGCAGGCACGCCCCGTGAGGTGCTGAGCGGTGCTGTCCTGCTGCTTGTTGCAGCCACAGCGCCTGCTCTCACGCCTACCTGCCGGGTCCTGCACCTGTCGCTGCTGCATCTGCCATGGCTGAGGTCACTATGGCTCTATCTGCCATCACTGCAACTGCTGCCTGTAGCAGGCACGCCCCCGGAGTTGCTGAGCCACGCTGTCCAGCTGCTCGTTGCAGCCACGGCGCTTGCTCTCACGCCCACCTCTCGGGTCCTGCACCTGCCATTGTTGCATTTATCATGGCTGATCTGTGTTGTTGTTTCCCCTGCTTCTTCTACCTCTTCCCAACCCTCCCTCACTTCGTCCACTACTTGAGGGGCCGTCAAAAGGCCCCTCATTATGACCTGCCACATTGCTTATGTACTGCCCACTAGTAGTAGCCCGACCCGGCCTGCGATCAACCTGCCCTCCTCCACGACCCCCTCGACCCCGTCCATACCCCCCCCCAAGCCCCCCACCCACAAACCCCGGCCAGCTTCATCCTCCTCCTCATCCTTCTCCTCCTCCTCCTCCTCCTCCTCCTCCTCCTCCTCCTCCTCCTCCTCCTCCTCCTCCTCCTACTCCTCCTCCTCCTCCTCCTCCTCCTCCTCCTCCTCCTCCTCCTCCTCCTCCTCCTCCTCCTCCTCCTCCTTCCCCTCATCCTCCCCACCCTCACCCGCTGAAGAGTTCTCTGCCACCGCCTTGACCTTCGCTGCAGTAGGCCTAAACTCATCGCCATCGACTGCTGCAGCACGCGAAGGCCCACCACACTGCCATCTTGCAAGAGGATTTTTAGGCCACATGAAGCCATCTTCTGCCGTCCCAAATCCCCACACTCGGTCCCAATAGGCAGAGCACTACCTTGCCTAAAGCTGTTTCGTGCTGCATGTGTTGGAACTCGTGCAAAGGAGGCACCTGGTAGCGCCCGTCCTTCCTCATTCCCCCTTCCGCCCCTCTGGGAAGACTCCCTGTTTATTTTCACCTAGAAGTGGTGTATAGGCGCTGTTGAAGGTGGTGTATACAGACTGTTGAAGGTGGCGCGTAGGCGCTGCTGTAGGTGGAGCGGATGCGGTGCTGGAGGTAATCTTTGCGATGATGTTGGTGTCGACCGCGTCTTTGGCTAGTGGCGATTGCGCTAATGCGGGGATGCGTTTGTTGCTTTGAAGGACTTCAAGACATAATGGCAAAGTCAAGTGGCTGCACCTCCGATGTGCAGGTGCCAGAGAATACGCCTGGCACGACCCTCAGAGCCGCGTACTTCTCTTTGACCGCTGGAGTAAGATGTCCTTGATATGAATCAAGGATGCATGAGCGAAGCACGCATGGGGTCCAAAGCGTAGCATGATGAAAGGTTTCACCGCTTCATCCAGCAATCTGATCACTTTGGTGGCACCCATCCATCCGGTGGGCTGGGCCGCCACGACCGCATCTGCAAGAAATCCATAGACATCTGGGTTAGGTGAACCCATGGTTTTAAAGAAACAATGGTGCCACAGTTAGAGACTCTCTGTTGGGGAAATCCCCCCTTGGAACCCTGGTGCGTTTGAAAAGCACCCAGAGCTTCAGCTTCTCTCCTGCAGCGGTGCATGTGAGCATCACGGTAACGCCCTCCGTTTGGTAGCCTGTGCTTCGAATGGGGACGGAATGGGTGCCGATTTCGTCTAGCATTGGAGCAGGCACGGTAGCGGTCAGTAAGCTGCGCAAAGCATTGACCCGTAGGGTGGAGGCGGCCACAGATGTCGTCTCTGCGTGGCCCAGTCTACACCTAGTACTAGCAGGGAGGGTGCTGAACCGGGCCACACGACGTCCAGCTGGGTGGGCCACTGCTGCTAACTGAGCTCCCATGTCCAGGCGGTCTCCACTGCTGCTGTTGGGCCTGCTGGAGCTGGCCCTGGAACTGCTACTCCCGCTGCTGCTGCTACTGCCGGGGCTACTGCTGCTAGTACACCGCACTACCTCCTCCTCTACTGCCTTCACCTCCACCTCCACCACCACTCCCACTCCCTCCGCCACCGCCATTACCACTCCCGCCACCCCCCCCTCCACCCCCCCCCTCCCCCACCACTGACCCTCCACCACCTCCACCACCGCCCCCTCCACCACCTCCACCGCTGCCCCTTCCACCACCTCCACCACTGCCACCACCTTCTCCCTTCTTACCGCTCTTCTTGCCCCCTTTGTTGCCAAAGGCAACAGTTGTGACCTCACATGCAGTGGCATCAGAGGCCGAGTTGACAGAAGAGGCAAGGATCAAAGAGGCATACCCCTCGAAGATAGGGCTAAGGACTGTACTAGAGGCAGCAGCAAGGGAGCGGGCAAGGTCCTCAACAATAGTGAGCCTCTCCTCAATGAGATCAATAGTGAGGGACATGGGGTTGACATTGAGGAAGTGATCAGGGAGGCGGGTGGAAAGGAGGTACAGTGTCATCCACATCGCGGGGGGATTGTTGGCAAGCAGGTAGGGGTCAGGGGCAGCAGAGCGAAGCTGAGCATCAAGCGAGCGCAAGTGCAGAATGCAGATAGCAACACGCGGAAACGAGGGAAGGTCGGGAAAATGGAAGGGCAGCACAAGACGGCCGAGGGACGCAGTGGTCGGTGTGGAGTACCATTTGACTACCACGTCGAAAAAGCCCTTGGCCGTCACCTCGTGTCCGAAGTGATGCTGCTCAGACAGTGGTAAGAGGTTGGTGATGGCGAGCACGGTAGCGTCGTCCCGCGCCGCCTAGCGTCTGGCCGCAAACTGCGCCTTCTTAAAGCGAGCCTCATCCACCTCTGATGGGGAAGCACCTAGGGGGTCGGGATCCTTTGGGGCAACAAGCTTGCCGGTGGCGTGCTCCAACAGGCGCATGTTGTTCTTGATCCTAGACCCTAGGTACAGCTTAAGCTTGCAAAGCCATCATGGAAAATCGACTCAGCAGCCCTCCGGATCAAATGTGAAAACTCGCGAGGTAGATATAGTCGAGTACGTAGGAACAACTTGCGTAGAGGGGTACTGACTGGTATGGTCTAGTGTGGTTCTGTACGGTTGGATGCGGTTGAGTGCATTTTTGTGCCGTTTGGTGCGGTTTAGTGCGGTTGGATGCCGTGGAGCATGAATGGGGGCTATTCCAGGGTGCAGCTGACAGGTGGGGCGGCAATTTCAGGTCATGGAGCGGCTGCTAACAATTGGGGCAGCGGGTTTGACAAGGAGCGTGTGGGGCAGCTCGTGGGGAGGCGGTTTTCAGCGCGTGGGAAGACAGGTTTCAGGTGGGGCGGCAATTTCAGGACGTGGGGCGGAGGTTTCAAGTCATAAGGGTTACGAGTATCAGGTGTTGCGGCGATTTTAGGTCAGGCGACGGGTAGGGAAGGTGTGGCGACAGGTAAGGTAGTGGGCGATGGGCGAGGCTAGAGCTCGGAGCGCGCTCGCGACTGTTGCTGCGTGTGCGTACAGCCGCGGCGTACGTGCGCGAGGCTGCACGTGTGATTAGGGCTACGCGTGCAGCTACGCGCACGCGTCTACTGCACACTAGCAAGCTGGCGGGCTAAATGCGTGTGGCAAAAGCGACTATCGCTCCGGGCAGAAACGGGTGATGCGCGGGGCAAAAGAGGTGACGCGCGGAGCAAAAAACGGGTGATTCACGAGCTAGCTAGATTGCGGGGCGCTTTGGGCCTTGGGCCGCTACGGGTTAAGTCGGGGCACGGGGCGGTGGGCCCATCGGATCGCTTAGCTCTATATCATGTAAAGAACTAACTAGCGTGAGAATTGACGACTAAGGAATCAAGGTACAACAAGATATATGCAAACCCTAGGAAATGTGAATGTAACACCTAGTCCGAACTAAACAACACATATCAAATATGAATTGACAAGTACCACCCAGGCGACTGTCGTGTGTCCTGCAAAACCTCGTCGCCCTGGTTACTTGGTCGACCTGGAAAACCAGGTCAGTGTTGACTTGCTTAGTAAAAGTCGACCGAAACTTGTACATGCTCGTCAACCACACAAGTCAACAACCACCTGCCGACTTTGCCAAGTCGGCCACTCCCCAGGTCGACCACTTTTAGTCAACCAAACCTGCTGTTCGCGGACTACACCAAGTCGGCTTCCCCAATTCGGCGCCCCCAAGTCGGCGCCCGTCCTAGGTCAACGGCTGCCTTTGTCGACCACAGTCGAAGTCGGCCGCCGGCTTCCCGTCATCGGCGGCTTTGCAGTGGCCCCATGCAGGTCGACCATACCTGTCGACCTGCTCGGCCAAGTTGGCGTTGCCTATTGTAGTTGGTTGACTGCTCTTCCCGCACACGCAACCACAAAGTCGGCTCCGCCCAAGCGAGGACGGGCCCAGCACCCGACTCCCGTTGACACTCCCCTTGTCAAAATGTTATAATTGTCTAGCCTGCAGTGGGGTACTCTATAGCGAGTACAACCCAATTAGGGTTTCCTATATGTATGCCAACTGCTGCTTGTGCAAAGCCCTCTTCTTCATTCCTCATTCTTCACACCCTTGCCACGTTTAAGCTTGGGCTCCCGACCCACATAGCAGCACTCCACGGAGAACAGCTCATCATCGTTGGCGTACACACAACACACAGCACGCCGTCACCACACCAACCGCGCAGAAAAGGCACGGCACTTAGTGCTCTACGCCGTCGTCACCGTCGCCGACTTCGGCGAGGCGCACTTGGCTGATTGCAACGGAGCACCGGTTGAAGGCGAGAATGCACAGCGCCTTCGTCAAGAAGTCGGCGGGCTACTCGGTGGCCGAGATGTGTCAACGGGAGTTGTGTGTTGGCCCCATCCTCGCTTGGACGGAGCCGACTTTGTGGTCGGTTGTGCGGGAGGTGCAGCCGACTTATTGCAGTGGGCTAGCCGACTTGGGCGAGCTGGTCGACGGGTGTGGTCGACCTGCCCAGGGCCACTGCGAAGCCGCCATCTTTGGGACGCCGGCGGTCGACTTCAGCTGGTGGTCGACGACGGGGCTCGTCGACCTGGGAGGGGTGCCGACTTGGGAGGGGCACCCACTTTGGTGGCAGGCCGACTTGGCGAAGTCGGCTTGGGAGTTTTCGGGGGTGCGTGACCATCGCCCAAGTGCTTCTGGCGAAGCCCACCTCGGTGTCGTATCCCGAGGTCGACGTGGCGGATCAGATGCTGTCGTGGGCACATGCTCAGCCTGGCGTCTGCGCTTTACACATGACGAGGCACAACACGCCAACCAGCTGCAAGCACCTGCAAAGCGGGTGCGCTTCTACCAGGCGGGTGCAACACTGTGCACCTTGCTGCACCGTTGGCACGCCGTCGACTTGCACCGTTGGCAGGCCGCTCCTCTGCACTGCTCGAGCGCGGTCGACCTTGTCGTGTTGGACTGCGGTCGACCGTGCTGCGCTGGCAGTCGACCCGCATGCTAGCTAGCATCTGATGTTGTCACTGTTGCTTTGCTACTGTCAACCATTGTTGTGAATTTTTTGTAGTAGAACTCTTGCCAGTTTCCCCCATGAATGGGCAAGCAGAGAGAACACGACAAAATGACTAAGAAACGCTAAGATCACTCACAACCCCGTGCCTTCCCTGTCAGAGGTCCACTGGAGATCCCCAGTTGATCTTAGGGAAGGGTTATAGGCACGTTGGCGTGGGGGGATATAGGTGCACTCACCCGCTACACAAACAAGCCCTTAGATCCCAAAGGTTAGTGGTTGGGTTTCTGACATGGTATCAGAGCGAAGGTCTCGGGTTTGGGTCCCAGTGTGTGCACCTAAGGCATCCCAGTATGGAGGGGTGTCAGAGGTCCACTGGAAATTCCCGATTGATCCTAGGGAAGTGTCACATGCA